GAGAGCTGGGAAGAGCTGAGCAGGTTGGATCAAGTCCCACAGGCCATGAGATCTCTCCTGTTAGTCAGATGTGCAGAGTAGAGAATGGGACAAGGAGGTCATGCCGAGCATGGGAGATGTTCATTCCTGCTCTGGGAGGTGACAGAAGCAGCGATTTTTGTTGCTGACACTTTTCTTCAGGTACCTGCAAATCGTTAAATCCTCTAGAAGCATTGCACGCAAGTTGACCGAGAAGGACAAGAGCGTAAGACATTGAGGAGCCCCAGTACAGAAGAGTCCCAACTCGCAAGTGCCTGCTTCAGAGAAGTGGTGGACATTGGGTCCTGCTGGAGAAGAGCTGGAGGCTTTCACGTTAGAGGACAGAAGAGGAAAAGAGAAGTTTGAAGAAACTGGAGAAACAGCAGAGACCTGTGGGAGGAACGGAGACCTGTACAGCCTGGCCCCAGGCTGGGCGCTGGGCAGCAGAGTCCTGCTGTCACTTCACACGGGGTTCCACATTTATTTTACATGAAAATAATATTTGACAAATCCTCTTGTCCCTGGGGTTGGGGAAGGGAAAGTTTATCTTTTCCACTAGCAACAGGTTCAGTTTTCTTTTTTAGGCAAATAGAACTGCAAGTGTTTAAGGCTTTATTTTTATGCTCTTGTTGCTTTTTTTGGCAAAAATGGGAACCTGAACTGACCAAAAATAGAAATGCTGCATACTTTTTAGCTTCCCATGTCCAGGATGAACACAACACACTAGGCAAACAAAAAGAATTTACAGTGGTAAGGGTAAATATCCTTGCCGTTTTTGTTTTTCTTGAACAGAGGTAAGGAAAGCGATTTGTTTAAAAAATGCGATTTTTGAAATGACCATGATGTTCTTTTTAAACTGCACTGGAATACAGGATAAAGACAGGGTACTGACTGAAAGAGTGCTGATGGCGCTTTTATTGTGTGATTTGCCTTGTTTTTTCTGAAGTACTTCTTTTTAGCCGATTACCATGTATTTACAGTTAGTGTAATTATATCTAATTACTTAATTAGCATGAATACGGGTAATTACTAACTTCCAATATGTAATTATGTCAGGGCAGCCTGTAATAAATGAGGTTGGAAAAAACCCTCATTAGGGCTCTACAGAAGGACGGCTGCTCCACCGGTGTGGAGAACGCATCCCAGTCCCCAGACTGCGCCAGTCCTGGAAGAGGGAAACACAACCAGCTCCGGTCGTGTCTGGCAACTACCTCCACCAAAAGCAAACCACCAGCCCCAGCAGTTGAGCTTCACAGCGCTGGTGGGAACCGAGCATTCACTGATGGTACATAGACAGGGATCTGCAAAGGATCTGCCCCCAAGATGAATTTTCTCCATTAGGGTTTGGATGTTTTCTCTGATTCATGTCGTTCTTGAGAAGACCTCTTTGGTCAGATGAGAAATCCGAGGGAACAGAGCAACTACAAAACCATGCTGTGGCACTGGAGTAAAGCTTCAGAGATCAAATCCAGGAACTAGTCTGCATCTGATGCATTGTGCTTATAATTAATTACTACTATTAAAGCAAAACAATCTTCCAAAATGTTTCCTCTGAAACATTACCAATCTTTCACCACAAAAATCTCCAGCTACTCCTAATCACAAAATCTGAATTTTGCAACTTCGAATCCTGAACATCAGGAGATGGAGCTAAGGCTAGAAGCTGCTGTTAGTGCCAAGCCTACCCAGAAGGACTAATAGCCATCTTCTGGACACAAATGAGAGTAGACTGGATCATGTTTTGCATTACCAAAACCCCTGACCTGAGGTCAATCTGAGGCTGAAGCTATGTAGTCTTACTCTCTATCTCCTCATGACATGTTCTGTCCACAGTACTTGCTCCACAGCAAGTCCAGTTCTTCTCCTCTCATCTGTTTATTTCCAAATACAGAGAGGTGCAAACTCATCACAACCTGTTGCTCCTCCTGCTGACATCTGCCAAGCAGATATGCCACTTGGTTTCTCTTCCATGTGCAAAAGATCAAGAGAAAAGACTATTTTAGCTTATTCTTTTGAGATTTCTTCAATTTGTGGTTGGACTGTCCCCCTTGCCAAGCTCGTTGCTTAACCCTCCAGGTAGGGCTGAGGATGGCTGAAACAAGGGTTGGTTGCAAACCTCGGTGCTGCTCAGCATGCCATGGAGTTACAGAGTAAAGATAGAGGGAACGTCTTCTCAAAGACTCAATGCTTCATCACGAGAAAACAGTGTAGTTCTCCCATGGT